CAAAGATGGATGTGTTGTTTTCTTTCATTAAAGCAATTAATTTTGGCATCTCTGCTAGTTCCATCAGTTTTTCCATTGTGGCAATTAAAATATCCTTCCATTTTTGTACAAAAAACATTCTTGGAAGAATGGATACTTAAGGTGTCTAATTTAGCAGAAATGGCGAAAATCTCCGCCTATTTGAAGGATCAATCACAAGAAAAATATATTATGGTTTGGAGAAGATGGATTAATTATATTCAAAAGAAATATGAAACTGATAAGTATTATCTTGCATATGTGTAGATGTTAGATAATTATTAATAGTTTTAATTATATTATTATTATTTTTTTAATTTGTTAATATTTGTTTTGAAAAGGAGCTAAAGTGCGTTATGGTTTTGTTTGATAGTATAGTTGGTTTATGTTAGATAATGTTTGTTTATTTGTTACCCTGTAATCAGCTCTGGGAAGTGGAGGAGGGGGGGAAGGGGTGGGAGCGGTTTATATTGTAAATTTTTAAAAAACTTTTAATAAAAAAAAACCATTCTTGCTACTCTCAACATATATAAAGCAATGATCCATATTATTTTTCAATCTTTTTCCCTATTAAAAGTAAAAGAAAAATCTCTTGTTTTATTTTTATATCAACTTTGAGAATCTTCTGCAGTAAAATATAAATCTTACACCAGTATTTCTTTGCTTTGTCACAAGTCCAGCAAAGATGATAAAAAGATTCTTGTTTACATTTTGAACATGTATTTGAATTTCTTTTATACATCTTTGGCCGGTTATCACGCATTAAATAGAATGATACATCTGTCAAGACTGCTAACATCGGATGTTCTTGCCATATATGAAGAAGCAAACCTGTTTTATTTAGCCTGTATAGCACTTCTAGAGTTAAAGCAGATAGTAACAGTCTGGTGGATGGGAAAATATGCTAGCTAATCATAACAATGTCTGAGCACAGTGTGGCCAAGGTCAGCCCAGCTGCAACAGGAGGGGCACTTCACACTTCACATTAATCGGAGAACGTGATTGATGACTGTAAAATGAAGAAGTGAGTTATGCTTTGTTAAGGGTGTTTGGGGGAGGGAGGATTCAGTTATTGGCTTAACTTTATTAGTGCCGAAGCTATGCAGAATAATAAAAGATTCTTTTAGAAGAATAAGCCTCAAAGTTCTTTGAAAAGCTGCTTCCTTTCGGAACCATGACAACATCATTTTATTAAAAAATTCTTTTAAATTATAATTTAATAGAAATTTTAAACCTTTCATCCAAATATCTTCCAGTTGTTCAGGCATTATATTATTTGCCATTTGATCCAAATTCTTAATAGCTCTTTACCAGAGTTCCCTGGCATTCACACTATATAGAGATGCTTCACTCATCTTTGTATAGTTGCTTATCCTTTCTAGAAGAAAGGTTTTGCAGAGCCATTTATTTCTTACTTCCCAGCCTAACTTGATCGATACTGAGTGCTTTGCAGTAAAAAACCACTTCATGATGTGTGATGACCATTAATTCTTTTCTCCATACTATTTCAAGTCCTTTACAATGGACGTCAGAGATCCTGAGAGAATGAGGCATCCACCAAATGTCCCTCAAGAACTGTTTTTCAGGAGGATCTCTCAGGAAGATCCAAATCAGGACACCTCAAGAGGTAATAATAAGGTCCTTCCACTCCTCTGATAAATCCTAACTTTCTTATCTTTTGTGTTTTCTCTTCGATAGCATACCTCCTCCCATTTCATTAATTATGCTTCCTGAAATTCTGTCTTCCTCACAGGGAAGAATAGAAGGAAGTTGACTCTTTCTTTTGGGGGAACAGAAACTGTAATTGAACCTCCAGCTCAGGTAAGAGAAGAACATTCATTTACTAGATTTGTATTTTCCTTTTCCCTCGGGAAATCAGCTGATGTACACAGTACAGGTAGTTCTTTATTTATGACCACAATTGAAATCCAAATTTTTGTTGCTAAGCAACATATTTGTTAAGTGAACTTTGCCCCATTTTACGACCTTGCCACATGTGTTAAGTCAATGACTGCAGTTGTTAAGTTTGTAATATGGTTGTTAAGTGAATCTGGCTTCCCTATTGACTTTGCTCTGAAAACTTCACAAAAAGTGATCACATGACCCGGGGACCCTGGAACCATCATCATCATCACCATCATCATAAAGTTGGAAGGGACCTTGGAGGTCATCAAGTCCAACCACCTGCTCAGGCAGGTAACCCTATACCATTTCAGACAAATGGTTGTTCAGTCTCTTCTTAAAAACTTCCAGTGTTGGAGCATTCACCACTTCTGGAGGCAGGTTGTTCCACTGGTTAATTGTTCTAACTGTCAGGAAGTTTCTCCTTAGTTCTAGGTTGCTTCTCTCCTTGCTTAGTTTCCATCCATTGCTTCTTGTCCTGCCTTCAGGAGCCTTGGAAAATAGCTTGGCTCCCTCTTCTTTGTGGCAGCCCCTGAGATACTGGAACACTGCTATTTTGTCCCCCCTCGTCCTTCTCTTCGTTAAACTAGACATACCCAATTCCAGCATAAATATGAGTCAGTTGCCAAGCATCCGAATTTTTAATCGTGTGGCCATGGGGATGCAGCAATAGTCGTAGGTGTGAAAACCGGGCATAAGCTATTTTTTTCAGTGCCTTTGTAACTTTGAACGGTCACTAAAAACTGTTGTAAGTTGAGGACTATCTCTATTGCCTTTTTCCATTGTCTCGTCTGCTTTTGATTGGGGATTTTTTTAGGATTTTTTTTTTAAGACTACTACTTTAAAAACAAAACTCTTTTCCCTAATTATTCTCCCAACTTTTCAGTAAGTAATGTTTTACAGATATTTTCACAGCTCCCATTCTTTCTGTAATTCTTTGAGTTTCATTGTGCAAGGATCCTCAAAAGTATTTAAATATTCACACCGGGATATTACCATTTTTAAAAGCTTCATTTACAATCATTGATAAGAAAATAAGTGATTAAGAACAAAGATTTTTAAAATCCCAGGACAGTGGCCATATAGAAATGCCTCCAAATAAAAATTGTTCTGAAAGAGCACATAATCAAGGCCCTGTTGGCTTGCAAAATACCTTTTAATCCCCTGATTTGTGCCTGGATTTGGAGGCCAAACCATCCAGCTTTGCAAAGGCTAAGAAATGCCTTCCTGAAAAAATGTTCTCCATCTCCTTATTTACTGTGGAGTCAATGGCTCAGACTACTAGCAGTTTCCTTGCAATCTGAGGAGGGGCAGAGTCTCTGGATATTGATGGCACACAACACAGATCCCTGGCTGATCTCTCCCAGCTCTTTCATGAAGGTGTTGAGGATGAACAGCATTGCTCCTTCTTAGCCATTTCATAACATTCTACAAAGAATCCCTTCCCCTACAGAGACATCTCTGCCTTTAAACCCAGGACGGGTTAGTGTCACTGATGGTGGGTTTTCCAAGGCCCACCTGCCAATTGATTCTCTCCTGACACTGAGTGCCTTTTGATTGAGGATGGATGAATCGATCCTGGCTGGCCGGCTGCATATTGGGTAGATCCAGAAGGATCCTGAGTTTGATCCAGAAGGAAATTGGGGTTACTTAACTGAATGACACTGGAAGTCTTACAAAATCATTCAAGTTGATGAAACCTATCTAAAACATTTCTTCAATCAAAAGCTTTTTCTTCTGTCCACTTTCTCACCTAAACTATGGAATCCTACTAAACACAGCCATTTACCTTAGTGCCCAGCTTTGCTTTGGGAATTTCCAAACAATAGGACAGATCCTATAGTCCCTCCTCAGTGTGTTCAATACTCTATTGCCTTTCAGGAGGGTCTTCTGCCCTTTGAGGAGGTGGCTGTGTATTTCTCAGAGGAGGAGTGGTCTCTGCTGGATCCTCGCCAAAAAGCGCTGCATTGGGAAGTCATGCTGGACAATTGTAGGAATGTGGCCTCTCTTGGTAAGGGTTTCCTATTCTGCAGTCAGACAATTTAGAAACACGCTTTGTAGTTAGATGCCACGGATTACTTCTTATGAAATCATCTCCAATAGATATTCTCTCCTCAGAGGGAGAAGAAAAGTCATGCTGTTCTACTGCTCCCAGGAAGGAAATAGGTCAATGGGATTCTGCTTAGATGTATTCTATCCCATTTGTTTTTCTATTTCTGTTTAAACACATTAGTGACAAAGTAATTCCTTGATTTGTGGTAATACCAAACCTCATCAAACAGTTTTCAACTATTTTGGCCCAGATGTTTCTGTATCAGTCCTATCAAGAATTGCCTTTCATGCTTTTTGACTTAATGCCTTTTACAAGGCCTAATGTCTAGGGAGACTGTGGTGGGGGAAGCGAGGAAATAGCTAGGGTGAATGTTGCAGTTTGTGGTCGTTCGTAAAGGTGAATGACTGTCGTAGTGTGGAAACATTCGCAATTTCAGGAGTTTTTCGTAAACACTACTGGGTGATTATCAAGTAAATTCAAACATTCGCTATGGCAAAGTTTGTAACTCAGGGATTATCTGTAATATGACTTCTGACAGGTGATCTTTTTCCCTAATCTTTCTATCACTTTTATTTCTCTTTTCCTTTGAAGGTGATAATGAAAATGACAATAAAGTCGCAGGAGAATTAATCAAAGTGTTCAAACAAAGAGACGTAATGGAGAAGCCTGCAATTCAAACAGGATCCCAAAGGCAGGAAAGAAACTCTTCAAATAATTGGAATAAGGAAAGTTCATCTTCCATTGATGCTCAGATGCAGGACTTCATTGATCAGCAAGGAAAAATAAAGAAAAAATATATTGGGAAAGGTATAAGACTATTCAAAGACACCATAGATGTAAATGAGCACCATCTATCCCAAGTCAAAGGACAAGATTATATATCCAAAGACAAAGGACAAAATTACAATCGGACTTTCACACTTTCTCAAGAAAATGGGTCTCTTATGTCACAGAAAAGTTTTCACATGGGAGAGAAGCCAAATAACTGCACTGAGGATGGAAATAAGAATGTTTATAAAAGAATAAGCACAAGGGAGAAGCCATATAAATGCATGGAGTGTGGAAAGGGCTTTATCAAACCAAGTTATCTTACATCCCATCAAAGGATCCACACAGGCGAGCAGCCATATAAATGCATGGAGTGTGGAAAGGGCTTCAGCAAACCAAGTCATCTAACATACCATCAAAGGATCCACACAGGGGAGAAGCCATATAAATGCATGGAGTGTGGAAGAGGGTTTAGAACAAGCAGTGATCTTGTAAGCCATCACAGAATCCACACAGGGGAGAAGCCCTATAAATGCATGGAGTGTGGAAAGGGCTTCAGACAAAGAGGTAATCTTCTATCCCATCAAAGTATCCACACAGCGGAGAAGCCATATGAATGCATGGAATGTGGAAAGGGCTTCAGTCAACACAATAAACTTACCTCCCATCAAAGTATACACACAGGGGAGAAGCCATATAAATGCATGGAGTGTGGAAAGGGCTTCAGGACAGGCAATGAACTTACATCCCATCAAAGGATCCACACAGGGGAGAAGCCCTATAAATGCATGGAGTGTGGAAAGAGCTTCAGAACAAGCAGTGACCGTACAACCCATCAACGAATACACACAGGGGAGAAGCCCTATAAATGCATGAAGTGTGGAAAGGTCTTCAGGACAAGCAGTGAACTTACATGCCATCAAAGGATACACACAGGGGAGAAGCCCTATAAATGCATGGAGTGTGGAAAGGGCTTCAAGACAAGCAGTGAATGTATATCCCACCAAAGGATACACACAGTGGAGAAGCCCTATAAATGCATGGATTGTGGAAAGGGCTTTGCCCGACATGGTCAACTTATTTCCCATAAAAGAATCCACACGGGAGAGAGGCCAGATAAATGAGTGAAGTGTGGAAAGGGCTTCGGCCGACACCATACTATTATTTCCTATAACATGATTCAATCAACAAGAAGTCAATCCCCAAAACAAAGACAAATTTGGGTGAGAATGAATGCTAATTATTGATTTAGTGGTCTCAGTCTCTGGATTTCCAATTTACCCAGACTGAACTCTGAAAAGAAGGTTTTTTATGTTTCACATACCTGTCAGGCCCAGAGAGATGAATTTAGTAATAAAAGAATGGGCATGTGCCATTATAGTTGTAATCTGTATGTTTGAATGTATCTGTTTATAGCTTCATTTTATTTTATTATTTAGAAATGAGCTTCCTGCTCCCCAACTGTCATCATTCTCCCACTTGGTCATAGTTCTCAGAGGGATGTGAAGACATTTAACAGGTGCTGCTTTCCCAAGCACAAATGGAAAAAAATCAAATGTTCATCCTTGTAAGACGTTAAGAAAAACATACAGGCATGTCTTGAGCAGAGGTTTAAAGCTGCAGGACACAGCTTGACAAACTCTGTGAGTTTATTGCTTTTTATATTCTTGTTACATACACCAGCTTAACCATTAGATGCTGACAAAGGTTTCTTCATTGGAAAATTTCTTCATGTAAGCAACTATTTTCTAATAACACATTACATGGTCAAAGACCAGGTAAAGAACAAATACAGGGAGATGAAAGGAAAAGGAACTAACAAAGACAGGAAAAGATAGGAGGGAACTAAGCATATTTGTTTTGGTAGGTGAGGCATTAAGTCAAAAGGGTATGACCTTGGGGTTGCTTCACTGGGACAAAGGGTATCAAAAGGTTATGAGGTTTGTGTGTGTGTGTGGGGGGGGAAGCACGGCAGTTTGCTGCGCATGCATTTTTCCCCACATCTCACTCTTCTCTATTTTATTAATGTGGACATTATCCTAAGCTGGAATAGTTAGTGGGTATTAATACTGTAAGACATCTTATTAAGTAGAGAAAAAAGTCATTGAATAACCATATATGTGCATAATTAAAGGATACCTCTTGAGGTACAATTTAAAATTCTTTGACATGTATACAATGAGGTTTTTTAGGTGAAATAGTACAATTGACAATTTTTGCACAAGTGAGAGTTGTAGGAATAGCTACAATTGGTGTATGTAAAACAATAGCATCAAAGGGTAACATATAAGAGATAGGACCCCAGTTTGACATAGTTGCATAATGAAATTCATTGTCTGATAGAAAATTGCTTAAACCAGTATAATTTTTTAAAACTGAAGTGGAACACATACAGGTATAAGACAGGTAGAGAGCAGATTTTCTATATCATATGATTCAGAAAGACAAAAGCCTGTCACTTGTTTGACATTAGCTAATTGCACCCAAATATTATATTTCATCTGTGATTCTAAAGGATGAGGTGGGAGAGCTTGAGCCCCCCACAGCAATTAAGAAGGAAAGAGAGGCAAAGAACGACTAAGGAAATTGCAGTCAAAACTGCAAATATGGCAGCGCATAAATTCTCTGGTGTAGGTTCTTTTCCCTGTTGCCACAGAACCTCCTGCGCTTTGGATGTTAGGTTCTTCACATCGCCCTAGGTCATTGGTCAACTGAGATGGCGAGAGCGAAAGAGACGTTGTGCTGTCTGAAGAGTCACCTGCTTCATTTCCAGTATTGGGTTCTGGATTTGATGCAATGACATCTTTGGCTGGTTGCACACACCGGGCTGGAATCCAGAGAGGGCCTGTAGGAGCAAGCACAGCAGGATAGCCTCGCCCCCAAGTTAGTAAGGGAATTGGACCTAACCAGGTTTTATCAGGCAATTGCTGATAATATGCCAATGGATTAGGGAGCACAGGTTTCTGATGAAAGTGACGCTGGTAGGCAGTAGTTTTTTGAAAAGAAATATTTAGCTGATCTAAAGTTATTAGGACTTTATTGACTTGACGAGTTATCCATGCCAAATTAGGTACTCTTGATCCCTTCTTTTTTATTTGTTTGTGAAGACAGTCCTTAAAGGACCGATGCGTATATGAGAAACAAAGTATAAATGCTTTCGGCCTTGTAACAGCTGCTCTAAAGTTAAAAACAAAGCCGTAAGATTGGGGTCGATCCTGGGCGTGATGTAAGCACCTGGAAGATTAAAAATAAGTTGGCACACATAATGAGAGTCAGAGATTAAGCTAAAAGTATGTTGAGAAAAGGTGTGGAAAGCTAAAATAGCAGCAGATAATTCTGAGCGTTGTGGTGAGGATTGCACTGCAGTGTAGGCAGATGATATGAAATATAGCCTATATAGTCAGTTAAAGAGCATTGAAGAGATATTCTGAAAATAAAATTGAAAATGAAATTTTGGGATAGGAAGAACAATATTAATTAAATCAATCCCATTTCAAGGACAAGCTCAATTGTGTCCTAAGGTTATTTCAGCAGCAGCCTGGATAAAAGATAAAACATTTTGGGATGGGATAAGTAAAGCCATTCAATACAATATACTTTTTGCGCTTCTAACACTACTAATACTCCTGTAAGTAGCTTATTAGTAAGAAATATCAAAAGTGTTAAGTGACAATTTTTATATGGAATTCTGTCCACAAATTGAGTACTCAAGATGTCATTAATTTATCCAACCGTGGCAAGTGCTGCAGGTGGAACTACAATGAGATCTCCAGGTTGTTTTCCTTTGGTCAATAAGTCAAATTCCAAGTTAATCAAATTCCATTCAGATGATCCTGGGGGAAAGAGGCATCCATCAATTTTTTTTCTCAAGATCTTTTTTTTCAGGAGGATCTCTCAGGAAGAACCAGATCCTGACATATCAGGATGTAATATACGGTTCTTCCAGTCCTCTGATAGATCTTCACTTTCTTCTGTTCTATAGCATACCTCCTCCCATTTTATTAATGATGTTTTCTGAAATTGTGTCTCCCTCACAAGGAAGAATGGAAGGAAGTTGACTCTTTGTTTTGGGGGAGCGTAAACCATGATTGAACCTCCAACTCAGGTAACAAAAGAGCATTCATTCATTTACTGGATCTCTATTTTCCCTTTCCCTTAGGAAATCAGCTGTTATAGTCCTCCATTTACAACCAGAATTGAGGCCAAAATTTTTGTTGCTAACAAAATATATATCAGTACTTTAAAAACAATGCTCTTTACTAAAATATAACATTGCCAAAGGCAGTTGGATAGAGAAGGCTTCCTGATCAAGGAGCCCCCTCCTGGCCTCCATGGGAAATGCACCATTTCTCCCCTCTGCATAAGCACCTCCCGGCACAGAAAATCCACCAGGGGCTGCACTTCAGCTTCGGGCTCCTGTTACAAGCTGCGAAGGAAGTGACATCACTAGGTTTTGCCTTTCTAGGATGCTGGACACTCTTTCTCTTTAAAGTTTAAACCTTCTCAGGAGGTTGAAAAGGAGGCAAGAAAGTCTTGAGCAGTGGTTCTCAACCTGTGGGTCCGGACCCCATTTGGGGTCGAATGACCATTTCACGGAGGTCGCCAAACAACGCAGTCTGCCATTTTTCCCCCCTTTTCTTTAGCTGTGCTACTCCCTTTTATTCTATTGGCTTTTGAAAACCAATAGAATAGACTCTTTTGAATAGAGTCTAATTCTATTGGCTTTCAAAAGCCAATAGGAATTGTCCAGGCTGTCTCTGCCCTGCCGAGCCCGCCAAAAGTCCCTTTCTGCAAACGGTGCTGCACCAGTTGAGTAGTCCTCGACTTACAACCGGTTGAGTAGTCCTCGACTTACGACCGGTTGGGGGTTGCGGCATTAAAAAGGTTGAGAACCACTGGGCTAGATGAACATTGTTATGAATGAAAAAGCATTTGGAGATACACAAGTTTCCTTGGACCCATTTGGAATTGTGTTACAGGATGGAGAAAGAATGGCACGTGTTAAGTCAATGACTGCAGTTGTTAAGTTTGTAATATGGTTGTTAAGTGAATCAGGCTTCCCTATTGACTTTGCTCTGAGAACTTTACAAAAGGTGATCACATGACCCGGGGACCCTGGAAACTTCAGAAATATGAGTCAGTTGCCAAGCATCCGAATTTCGATCGTGTGGCCATGGGGGTGCTGCAACAGGTGTGGAAAAACAGGCATAAGAGGTGTGGAAAAACAGGCATAAGACATTTTTTTCAGTGCTGTTGTAACTTTGAACAGTCACTAAAAACTGTTGTAAGTTGAGGGCTACATGTACTGTGTTTTTCGATTTTACCCTTTGCTTTTGCTTGGGGATTTTTTTAGGAATTTTTTTTAAGACTAGTACTTTAAAAACAAAATTCTTTTCGCTAATTATTCTCCTAACTTTTCAATTATGTTTAACAGAATTCTCCAGGGTCCCCATTCTACCTTAGTGCATAGCTTTGCTTCGGGAATTTTTAAACAATAGGACAAATCCTGCAGTTCCTCCTGGCCCTGTTCTGTACTTTTTTTTTTTCCTTTTCAGGAGGGTCTTCTGCCCATTGAGGAGGTGGCTGTGTATTTCTCAGAGGAGGAGTGGTCTCTGCTGGATTCTCGCCAAAAAACACTGCATTGGGAAGTCATGCTGGACAATTGCAGGAACGTGGCCTCTCTTGGTAAGGATTTCCTATTCTGCAGTCAGACAGTTCAGCAAGATGCTTTGTAGTTAGATGACATTGGTTACGTCTTATGAAAACATCTCCAAATAGATATCCTCTCCTCAGAGGGAGAAGGAAAGGTTATGGTGTTCTGTTGCTCCTAGGAAGGAAATAGGCCAATGGCATTCTGTTTAGATATATTCTATCCCATTTGTTTTTCTATTTCTGTTTAAACACATTAGTGATTAATTTCTAGGATTGAGGTAATGCCAAACTCCATCACACAGATTTCAACTATTTTGGCCAGATGCTTCCATATCAGTCCTATCAAGAATGGCCATTCATGTTTTTTGACTTAATGATTTTTCAAAGGATTTATACATCTTGAATAGAGATATTATTTCTATATTATGCCAGAATGACCAGAAACCCCCAAATGCTCGTGCAATTTTTTTTTCAAACATATTATGGCCATATTTTGCTCTTCTATACTGTGATGAGGGCTAATAAGAAGTCTAAATTTGATTTAAATAAAATGAAATACCAGTTGTGTGGTTATGTTCTTGTCATATATTATACCAGATGTGATCTCAGATGGCAGATGTGATCTCAGAACCACTGAACTATATTTTTCAAAGACCCTGGAGCATTGGGGAACTACCAGAGGACTGGAAAAGAGCTGATGTAGTTCCCATCTTCAAAAAAGGGGAAAAAATGGATCCAGGAAACTACAGACCTATCAGCCTGACCTCAATACCTGGGAAGATTCTGGAAAAGATAATCAAACAACAAATCAGCAAACACCTAGAGGCAAACAAAGTCATTACTAAAAGCCAACATGGATTTGTCAAAAACAGATCATGCCAGACAAATCTTATTGCATTCTTTGACCAAGTGACAAAATTAGTGGATTAGAGGAATGCTGTGGATATAATTTACTTGGACTTCAGTAAGGCATTCGATAAAGTAGGTCACAACCTACTACTCGATAAGATAGAAAAATGTGGGTTAGACAGCATCACCACCAGATGGATTCGTAGCTGGCTGACCAGCCATACTCAGCGTGTGGTCCTCAATGGAACCACATCTAAATGGAGGGAAGTGTGTAGTGGGGTGCCCCAGGGCTCTGTTCTGGGCCCAGTGCTCTTCAACATCTTCATCAACGATTTGGATGAGGGGATAGATGGGGAAATGATCAAATTTGCAGATGATACCAAGCTGGCAGGAATAGCCAACACTCCAGAAGATAGGCTTAGGATACAGGAGGATCTGGACAGACTTGAACACTAGGCGTTATCTAACAAAATGAATTTCAATGGTGAAAAAAGTAAGGCTCTACATTTAGGCAAGAAAAACCAAATGTACAGGTATAGTATAGGGGGTACCTTGCTCAATAGTAGTAACTGTGAGAGGGATCTTGGAGTCCTAGTCGACAATCACTTAGATATGAGCCAGCAGTGTGCTGCAGCTGCCAAAAAAGCCAGCACAGTGCTAGGCTGCATTAACAGGGATAGAATCAAGATCACGTGAAGTATTAATACTACTTTACAATTCCTTGGTAAGGCCACACTTGGAATACTGCATCTAGTTTTGGCCACCACGATGTAAAAAAGAGGTTGAGACTCTAGAAAGAGTACACAGAAGAACAACAAAGATGATTAGGGGACAGGAGGCTAAAACATAAACGGTTGCTAGAATTGGGTTTATAAAGCAATGCTACTAACTTTCTAAGGTGTGGCACTTCTGAACGCAATGCTGCCGGTGTTCAGATTGTGTTCTCACTCAGGATTTATTTCGATCGAAAATAAAGTGCTGTACCTTTAAGAAGCTTCTGCTTGGGTTTTCATGATTGAATTTTTATGATTTCTCAAGTTTTGCCAAGGGCCAGTGACCTTACACTGTATAGGCATAATGATCGATAATTCCAATCTTTAGGAGTACAATAGGATTTGTCAATTGCTGTGACGTATAGGAGCCTGCTATGCTGCATTATTATTAATTAGGTCAGGTGTGGTACCATCTGCACCAAGATGATTTCAGGATAATCCTTGGGAGAACTATAACTTGAGTTCAACAATAACCAAATAAATATAAGGGTTAAAAGGTTGCAATTAGGTTGAGAAACTTACTCCAGATCCAACCAAATTTTAAACAACAAAGATTGGGGTTTCTCTTGCTTTCAAAAATGTTTTCTTTGCCCCTTTGTGTGATTTATTTAAACTATTAAGGTTTTACATAAACCCACAAACTTCTCTGTTCTACTAAGAAATTTCAAAGAGACAAAAGAAACTCCTGAGCCAAGGTTTCAGCAAAGAAAAGCAACTTTATTTTGGCCAAAATAGAGCTGGGTAAACTTCTCCCTCTTCATGGCTGTTTAGAGGGACGAAGGCACACCATTTCTTCTACCTTTTATACTTGTTCAGAACAAAGAGATCCAGGTCTGTTTACCTGACAGGGGTTCTCAACCTTGGCGACTTTAAGACTTGTGGACTTCAATTCCCAGAATTCCTCAGCCAGCAAAACTGGCTGAGGAATTCTGGAAATTGAAGTCCACAAGTCTTAAAGTTGCCAAGGTTGAGAACCCCTGCAGGAGCAAGGAAGCACAGAAAAACAAATTCCAAAATGATGACTCCTATACATCAATCCAGGTTCCATCCGTAACTCATTCCCCCCCTCATTTCTTGGACCACTGAGCCTGACGTTGCTCTTTTCATGTAAGCCAGTGGTTCTCAACCTTTCTAATGCCGTGACCCCATAATACAGTTCCCCATGTTGTGGTGACCCCCAACCACTTATACATCACTGGGTGCCAGGGGCGTGGCCAAAGGGGGGAAAAATGGCGGACAGCCTTGTTTGGTGACCCCTGTGAAATGGTTGTTTGACCCCAAATGGGGTCCTGACCCACAGGTTGAGAACCACTGATGTAAGCAATCTCCTGAGAAAATCTCCTGTATATTTGACATGAGACACTTGCTTTTAAGCAAGTAATTTCCTGATACGAGGCACTTATAAGGTTACTTGCTCATAAGAAAATTTATATAGAATAGCTACAAACTAACACTATTAATATCAAGCATAAACATAATAAAATCATAAACACAATATAAGGTCCCCTCAAAACAATGCATTCCCTCAGCAATATTTAAAAGAACATGAACAAGGTCACTAGGAGATCAAAGAAGTTTGCAATTCCCCAGTCCTGCTATCTCCATAGGTCATTCATAAAGGCAACTAATAAAATTGGCATGTTGTGTTCCAGCCAGAAACCGATTGCCAGGCAGCCAAATAATTTGCATGGGATAAAGCCCTCTGCAGTTTCAAAGCACCAACCCTTTCAGGCAAGCCAGGCCAGGAATGGGACACTGCAAAGTCTATTAGGTATGATAGAACCTTCCTTAAAAATAGAAGAGTGGATATGTGTGTGGTGCTGTGAAAAGCAATTGGATCTGAGAAGAAACGACAACCTCCTTCCTGGTGAAAAAATGCACTCTTTCTCCCGTTTGCAGCTGTCTTGCACACAGAATCCAGCAGAGGTCTCTCTCTCTCTCACTATGCGCTTCAGCATTGGGCTTCTACTTGGAGGACGTATAACAGATGGTTCACCACAGAGAGTGGGAAGGAAGTGACATCAATAAGCCTTGCCACTATACTATTGGATGCTGCATTCTCTTTCTTTTTAACCCCTTTTGAGCTTCTCAGGGGCTTAAATAGGCTGCAGGAAAGTCTTAAGCGGAAGAGACTTAGAGGTGGGCGGGGCAAGTGGCGGGGGAGGGGTGTCTCTTGCGGTGCAAAGGGAGGCAGGGAGTTCTCGGTCTAGCGAAGGGAGGGACAGATGCCAAATCTTCGTGCAGGCTCGATCTTCTAACTCCCGGGAGAGGGAGAGGCCGGATCCCATATTATCCTGCCGCTTGTTTCCAGGCACGCAGCTGATAGCGGGAAAGCCGTGCTCCAGATCAGCCGTGTTGCCCCAAGATTAAATCCAGATCCTCGGAGAGGAGGAAGGGTCCTGGGGGAATCCTTCACGCCCCATATCCTCGGTAAAGTTCCCGAGTGGTGGTGGTGGTGGTGGTGAATTGGGAGATTGCTTTCCTGGCAACTCTCAAGCAGGACATAAGAAAATGGCTGCAAGGGAGGAACTGCAGAAGGTTGTGCCTGCATTCTCCTTATGTGCTGGATGACACTAAAATCGGGATGGATCCTCAGCAGTTCAATTTATCTTAGGAGGGTGAGTGAACCAGGACATCATCAACCGCTGTGTTTCTTTGACTGCAGCTCCTGCAGTTGATCACTCTGTTTTATTTATTTGTTCAAATATTTTGTGCTTAGAGCATGTTGTCTGAAGTTGCCCTGCCTGTAATTGTGTGATTCAGCTCTTAAAAAGCAAACCCTGAAGAAAGGGAAATGGAACATCCTAAAGCAAGTCATTTCATTTTATGTGAACTGCACTTTCATGGCTGGTTAACCCATTAGAGTTTGGCATGTTGTGTGAACCCGGCTTGTAGGTTTTTATAAAGCAAATCCTACCTTGATCACATGAACTCGGGACACTAAAACCCTCATAAATACATGCCAGTGTCCAAGTGTCCAAATGCTTCAATGGTCATAAATTTGAAAAACAATCATAAGTCACTTTTTTGGTGCCGTTGTAACTTTGAACGGTCATTCTACAAATGGTTGTAGGTCAACTACCTGTAATAAAAATGGGATACAAATAAATATTAGATATTCATGCACAGGCACTAACTGCTCATTGCCACTATAATCCTATACTATCTTAGAAAAATACTGGAATGAAAAGGTCTTAGGAGATCCACAAGATTCCCTGGACCGATTTGGAGTTGCATTACAGGTCAGAAAAAGAATGGAAAGTGAACCTTTAGCAAGTGAGGGAACGGGAAAGGGCACTTTTGGTATCAGGCCTGGGAGCCGTAGGGAGATCTGGGCAAGAACTGGGCAGAAGATCCAGGAGGAGAAAACCACCCTTTCAGACATTCAGCCCTGGAAATTCAGGAGTGTCCAATATCAGGAGGATGAAGGTCCCCGAGGGCTTTGCAGCAGACTCTACTGCTATTGTAGCCGATGGTTGAGACCAGAAAAGCACACAAAAGAGAAGATGCTGGACTTGGTTGTTCTGGAGCAGTTCCTGGCCCTTCTGCCCCTTCAGATGGAGAGCTGGGTGCGAGAGTGTGGAGCAGAGACTACCTGCCAGGCAGTGGCCCTGGTGGAAGGCTTCCTCCTGAGTCTGGAGGAGGAGAAGAAGGAGCAGGTTGAGTTACAGGTAAGAGACCATCATCATGGGAGATTAAAAGAGCTTTAAATGTAATATTGCCTTATTGGCTAGATGGGCAGTATTTAAACCGAATAAATAGACAATATATTGAATTTTTAAACCTTCGCTATCGGCGTTCTGTAGCATTCGTAATATGTGGAGAGGTTTCACTAATTATTTGGGACATTGTTTCGTTATCCATTCTCCAAGAAAGATATGAGACAACTGTTTCTTTTTTCTAGCCTCACTGATGGACATTGTGGGATTTGAATTGGTGTCCATAGAACAAGAATTCTCTTCATGGTGTGCGATGTTTGTTAATTATTTTCTCCTGCCTATTATTTCAAGTCCTTTGCAGTGAAGACCAGAGATCCCGAGGGAAGGAGGCATCCATCAAATCTCCCTCAAGAACTGTTTTTCAGGAGGATCTGTCAGGAAGTTCCCAATCAGGACATCTCAATAGGTAATACAAAGGTCCTTCCACCCCTCTAAAAGATCCTAGCTTTCTCATCTTCTCTTCATCTTCTCTTCTATAGAACACCTCCTCCTACTTTTTTAATTATGCGGTTTAAAATTTTGTCTCCCTCACAGGTAAGAATAGAAGAAAGTTGACTCTTCCTTATGGTGGAGCTGGAACAATGATTGAACCTCCAACTCAGGTAAGAAGAGGAAATATATGGGATTTTTATTCTGTCTTTCATGTTGGTATACGTAGAATTGTTTTCTTACATTTTACTCTTTCTTTCGGCTTGAGTCATTTTTGTGGTCCTGAACAATATAGAAGATTCAAGAGAGATTATTATTAGGAAATATTTTTGTTAAAGACCAGAATGGAACTCTCTTCATGCTGATTATTCTTTCTAGTTTTCCGTAATTAATTTCTTTATGAAATTCTCAAGGGACTCATTGTTGTTTGTAATTCTTTGATTTGGAATTATGCAAGGATGTCAAAATTAACTATTCATACTATTGCCACTTTTAAAAACCCTTTTTTGCAACCAATGATTGTTGTATGAACCAATAGAGCAGATCAGCTTAAAACATAAGGCAGACTATAAATATCTAATGAAAATGGCCAGATGGAATGAACGCTATCAAGGCACTTTAGCTTGCAGCGTAATTTCTTGTGCCTAGATTTGAAGACCAAATTCAGCTTTGCAATAGCTAAGAAATGTCCACTTCAGGAAAGCTTCTCTCTTTTTTTATTTCCTACTCAGTCTATATCTCAGACTACTAGCAGCTTCCTTGCAATATGAGATGGAGTAGAAACTGAGTTGCACGTCTGTGGATTTGATAACAGCCACTACAAATCTCTGCTGCTCTCTCCCAGCACTTTCATGAAAGTGTTGGTGGGATTGGTCCTACTGGGAACACTGTGCTGCAAAGAATCCATCCCCCGTCTCCTTCTGCAAACACAGGGAGCTTTGGAGTCAATAGTGGGTGGGGTTTCCAAAGCCCACCTGCCAATTGATTCCTTCCAGACACTGAGAGTCTTTTGTTGATGGATAGATGGACTGATAGACAGACAGTAGATCAATTCATCCAGTGGGGTTACTTTTCACAGAATGGCACTGGAAGTCCTACAGCAGTGGTGGCGAACCTATGGCATGGGTGCCAGAGGCGGCACTCAGAGCCCTCTCTGTAGGCACGTGCGCCATCGCCCCAGTCCTAGGCCTTCAGCTGGGTTTTATAAAACCTTTTCGCTCTAGGCCTCCGCCGCCGTGGGCAAAAAAAAAAAAAGGTTCAATCAATCAGTCAATTTCAACTTCTCATGGGGAAAAAAAAGATCTTGCAAAGTTGGAATTGATTGAACTTTTTAGTCCCACCCAGTCTGCCATTACCACCGCACCCATGCCCACCCAATGGGCCACACCCACCCGGCACCCAACGATGCATAAGTGGGTTTTGGGTTGCTTTGGGCACTCAGTCTCTAAAAGGTTTGCCCTCACTGTCCTACAGTATCAATCAACCTGTCTGAAATATTTCTTCAGTCAAAAGTTTTTGATTTGTCCATTTTCTCACCTAAATCACAGAATCCTACCAAGCATAATAACCATTTACCTTAGTGCATATCTTTGCGTTGGGAATTTGTAAACAATAGGTCACTTCTTGTTATTCCTCCTGGATCTGGTCTGTATTTTTTTCCTCTGTCAGCAGGACCTTGTCTCCTTTGAGGAGGTTGCTGTGTATTTCTCCGAGGAGGAATGGTCTGTGCTGGATCCTGACCAAAAAGCACTCCATTGGGAAGTCATGATGGAAAATTATAGGAATGTGACCTCTCTTGGTAAGGGTTTCCTATTGTCCCATCAGGGGGTTCAGGAGAGTTTTGTAATTAGATGCCACAGCTATTTCTTTTTATTGTGGTTCTTTGCACAGTCATCCATATGTTTAGATTGGATTTGGCGTTTTCAATCCACCTATCATGTTCTTTCCAAGGACCTGGAATAGGCAGATGTTATTTTATTAAAAATTTTTTGCCAGAGTAAAACAACCATACAAGTTTTGAATAGGAAATAAAAAAGATACAGTAAATTAGTAAATAAAAAAATTTTTGAAGAAAGAAATAAAGGGGGAAAAAGAAAAAGTAACAGAAGTAACTTCTGATCTTTTTCATGGCAGTGGCAAAAGCAATTGCATTTTATCCTCTCTTTCAAAGGCTACATGATAGTTTTCTTCTTTCCATCTAATCTTCAAACCATTTCATTCCTTTCAACTCCTAATTTTCATTCAAACCAAGCAGCAGGCTGCAAAGTACAGTGCAAACTGGGCAGACCTAATTCTCCTTTTTCCTTTCCTTTCCATCTTGGAGAATTGTTTGTTTTTCTTTGCCATGCAAACTTAGACATATGTTTCTGTGATTGCTTAAGTGGTATATCAGTTTTCAAAATAGGTATTGTTTAAAACAAAACATTCTAGGCAAAACATTATCATAGAAATTCTCTCCCAATAACAACTGTAATTTATCCCATTTTCCTTTTTTTCTCAATATTAAAACTAGTTTTCATTGATTCTAACTGATCTTCAATTTTCATATTTTTAACATCATCTTTTGATTATTAATCTTAAATACTACATTCCTTTAATTTTTCCATTTGTTTGTATCTGAATTCCCTTCAAAGGATTAGTTGCAGAGACAAAGGGCATCCTTGTCCCTTTCTCTATCTCATACTTTTGTTAATTATCCATTAACAATTATTTGTGCTTTTAGCATAGATTGATTTCACTTAAACAATAAATTTGTTTAACATGATAGCAGTATTCCAATATCTCAGGGGCTGCCATAAAGAAGAGGGAATCAAGTTATTTTCCAAAGCACCTGAAGGCAGGACAAGAAGCAACGGGTAGAAACTAATCAAGGAGAGAAGCAACCTAGAACTAAGGAGAAACTTCCTGACAGTGAGAACAATTAATCAGTGGAACAGCCTGCCTCCAGAAGCAGTAAATGCTCCAACACTGGAAGTTTTTAAGAAGAGACTGGACAGCCATTTGTCCGAAATGGTGTAGGGTTTTCTACCTGAGCAGGGAGTTGGACTAGATGACCTCCAAGGTCCCTTCCAACTTTACTACTATTATTATTATTATTATTCTCTCATATCTTTCAAAATGTTAAACAGGAAAATCCAATTCAGATTGTCAAAGGCCTTCCCCACATCTAAGATCAGTGCAGCTTTTTTTTATTATGTTCTAAGTCAGACATGTTAAACACAAGGCCTGAGGGCCGGATACGGCCCGCAAAGTGGTTTCATGTGGCCCGCGAAGCCATCCTGGAAACAGTGAGGGAACGGCCCCTTCTGCCGTGGCCCTGGCCCAGGCCAGCCAGGAGCCAATGTACAATTTTGTGGTGGCCATCTATGCTGAAACGCATTCAGTCCTAGCTCCATAAGCCCCCCCCCTCCCGCATGGCATGAGAGCAAGAGTGAGGCTCCTCCAGTGGACCATGCCTTGGCACTTGCCCTGGTCCCATCCCCTTCTGCTAGAGACCCTCAGATCTATCCCACTCCTGCCCAGGCCCCCACGGCACCCTTGACGCAAACGATGTAGAGCTGGCCACACCCACCCAGTAGGCCACACCCACTCCATCCACACCCACCCAGTAGGCCGCACCCACCCAGCCCCCTGAGGGCAACCGCAATGCTGATGCGGCCCTCAATGAAATTGAGTTTGACACCCCTGTTCTAAGTATTCCAAAATTTGTAATATTTTTCTAATATTACTTCTTAACTGTCTCTTAGATAGAAATCAACACTGGTCATCGTGAATAAATTCTTGGAAAGCTAGTTGCATCCTTCCAGCCAGAATCATTGTAAAAAGTTTGTAATCGTCATTCAGGAATGATATTGGCTGGTTCTACTATTGCAAATATGCTATATAGGGTTACTAGAAGAACTCCTAGATCAGTGATGGTGAACCTTTTAGAGACTGAGTACCCAAAAAATAGCCCTGCCCCGGCCCCCGCTCTGCCCCTGGTTCCACCCACTCCAACCCCACCTGCCCTACCTCCGCTCTGCCCCCGCCCACCCGCAGGGCCACTCACCGCCTCCACGGCCAGGGGGGCTGTTGGGTAGTAGGGGGCCATGGGGGGAGACGGGGCTGGGGCAATGGCACACGTGTCCACAGAGAGGGCTCTGAGTGCCGCCTCTGGCACACGTGCCATAGGTTCGCCACCACTGTCCTAGGTTTTTTTCCTCTGCAACCATGTTATTTTGGCAAGAAAAGAAAAGTAAAACAAAAGGTAGTTTGGATGGGAAGATGTCAGGGAATTGCACAGCAAGTGTTCAAATGAAATCAGACCCCTGGCGAACTGGTAGTTTTATATAAATAAATATATATTTATAGCAGATAAACAGCAGACAAACAGGAGCATCATGAAGTAAATCACAGAGCACAGAGCACGGGAAAAAGGAAAATTTCCTCTCCACACCTACGGCAACCAATCCCAGCGTAGATTGTCTCACACAGGAGCCAGCATACTCCAACCAATCAACTACAATCCTGTGTTCTGGCTCATTGTACAATCCCATTGTTCCAGCTACTAAATTGAAACATCTTAACACCCCTCTAATTTAAAGCTGGACAGCATTTAAACCAAGTTGTTTCACCTGTATTTCTGTTTACCCAATGACTTTGTCATGAGGTCGGTCAAATTGTTTTCTGATGGATAGTAAATTAGATCTATTAATAAATTATATCTATTTCACTAGTTTTCTGACATTACAGTATTTTATGTCAACATTTTTGCTTCTGTTTTTTACTCTCGCCTTTTGCCATTTGTATACATGTTGTGTTATCTTCAAATACTGGTATAGCTCCTTTCACTTCAATATCCAAATCTTTTAACAATTGTATATAGAATGTTATCTCTGAACACAACTTTGACAATGGTATGAATTCTGCTTCAGCTGTGGAAATGGCAATTGAAGTCTGTTTTCTAGATTTCCAACCAGTTACTGCTTTTGCAAATATTACAACAAATCCTGATACTGACTTTCTATCCTGTACATCATTAGCCCAATCTTTCCATTTCTTTTCTGCCAGAGGTAAATTTAATACTTCCTGGTAATTTGGGGCTCATAAAAGATGTTACATACTTTAACCTCATCAACTGTGAATCTTTCTGAAGGAACACCTTTGTTTGCTTTTTCAGACATCCTTGGAATAAAATGTCCTAATTTCACCAGAATCTCATTCTCCAAACATTCCTCTGAGCTCTACTCAGACCCTGAACTACTCTCAGATTTCTATTTAATGTGCCTGTGTAAGTGTTCATTTATTGGAGAACTCTGACTAACAGGCACTAAAATTCCAGTATTGGCATGTACCTTTTCCCAATTCTCATGTTCAGAAAAATTTGCACAATGTGAGAGGATAATATTTTTGTGTCCATCTGTAAATCAGCCCCTTGATCAACTTAGTTGCTCTTCTTTGCACTTTTTCCAACGTCTCAACACCTTTTTTGTCATGTTTCAAAACTTGTGCACACACCCTGTTATTCTTTATGACTTTGTATGTACCCTTTGCGAAAAATATTTGATACCCTTCATTATCTAAGTAGGACACACTCAGCAAATTGTGATCGAAATCTCTTACACATAAAACCTTATCAAATGATTCACTAATGCATGGTATATATGCTCTTCCTTGTCCCTGTACAAAAGAATGATTACCATTTGTCAGGCTTATCTAATATTCCTGGTCAACTGGTCCCAGATTTGGAAAAAAAATCTGGGTTATTTATAATATGCTTATTTGCCCCACTGTCCAACAACCAAGTGTCTTTAGTGTTTTTGTTGGTTGCCATCACGACAGAAATCTGTGTCCTCCTTCCTTCTTTGTGCTGTCTCTCTCCTGTGTGTATCTTTTAATCTTCTTACTTGGCAATTTTTTTGGTATTTTGAATGGATCCACATACAAAGCAGCATTTTACTATACAGATTTCCTCTCCACCTTATTATCTCTCTGGAATGCATCTCCTTTCTGACTGAGCTGTAAGTTACTATCATTTCTCTCGCATGCAGTGTTTCTATTCTTCCAAAAGTGTCCCAGTTATATATTTAAATTACACTTGTTCATGGACTCAAGGCTTACTACTAACACATCCTAAGTATCATCAAGGGAAGTTAGCACAACATACACTTTGTGTACTTCTGAAAATACCATTCCTCGCTCTTCTAATTCAAAGAAGGTTTTCTTCATGAAGTGGCGGTGATCTGACAGACTTTCTTCAGACTTTAGCCTTGTTCTATAAAAGTTTTCTGGTAAGAGTTACTTTGCTCCTTGCTGCCTCTCTGACATAAATTTTGTGTAATGCAAGCTAGCATTCTCTAGCAAATGTTAGTCCATGCACATATATTACCTGACTATATTCCAAGCACAAAATTATTCTGGCTAGTGCTTTTTCATTTCACTTTTGCTGTTCCTCATTGAGATCTGCTGGAGGATTGCTTACAACTGTCCACAAATCCTTCCTTTCCATTTTTAGGCTCCATGAGAGATAATTTCTCTCATTAAGACCAGCCAAAAGAAATCCTCCTCCCATCTCTATAACAGATAGCATCATGCTGTCTTTACAGGTGAATCATCCTCAACCTCCCTCAGGCTCAAGAAGAAACTTTTACCTCAGAGAAATTTACTACTGTCACTTCAGGTCGCTTCTGGTTCTGTAATCTGTCAGGGAATTGTGCAGCAGGTGTACAAATGAAGTTAGAGATGCTGACAAGAACTTATGGGTTTATATAAATACATATACATATCGCATATACTATACAATACAACAGAGCATCATGAGGTAAGTCACAGAGCACATAGCACACGGGAGAAAAAGGCAGGAAAAAAGAAAACTCAAAACTCATATGATTTCTGATAGTTTGATATTTTTCCCTAGCCTTATTACCACTTTCATTTCTCTTTTCCTTTGAAGGCACTTATGGGCAGAAGAATAAAGATTCAGTCGAACCATTCCAATTTATCAGACATGGAAAAGGAATGGAGAAACATGCAGTTCAAATGGAACTAGAAAACTGTGAGCGAAACCAGTCATATAACTGGAATAAGGGAAGCTCATCTTCCATTGATGCACAGATTCAAGACGTTCATATCCAACAAGGCAAACACAAGAAAAAATACATTGGGAAAGGTGTAGGACTATTCAAAAACACATTCAATATAAATAAGCACCATCCAACCCAAACGAAAGGAGAAGATTATATATGCAGGGATGATGGAAAAAATTACAATGGGACTTTCGGTCTTTCTCGAGATAATGGGTCCCTGACATCTCATAAAAGGATCCACATGGGAGAGAAGCCATTTAAATGCATGGTGTGTGGAAAAGGCTTCAGCCAGCAGAGTAACCTTAGTTCCCATAAAAGAATCCACACAGGGGAGAAGCCTTATAAATGTATGGAGTGTGGAAAGACCTTTACTCAGAGCGTTCAACTTACTTGCCATAAAACGATCCATACAGGGGAAAGACCATATAAATGCATTGAATGTGGAAAGTGCTTCAGTCAACCCAGTAGTCTTACTGTTCATAAAAGGATCCACACAGGGGAGAAGCCATATAAATGTGTGGAGTGTGGAAAAACTTTTAGTTACAGTGGTCATCTTACTTCACATAAAAAGATCCACACAGGGGAGAGACCATATAAATGCATGGAATGTGGAAAGACCTTTAGTCGTAACATTCAACTTACTTCCCATAAAAGGATCCACACAGGGGAGAAGCCATATAAATGCTTGGAATGTGGAAAAGGCTTCTGTGAAAACTGGTCTCTTACTGTTCATAAAAGGATCCACACGGGAGAGAAGCCATATAAATGCATGGAGTGTGGAAAGGGTTTCAGCCAACATAGTAATCTTACTTCCCATAAAAGGATCCACACAGGAGAGAAGCCGTATAAATGCTTGGAGTGTGGAAAGACGTTTATTTATAGCAGTCATCTTACTTCCCATAAAAGGATCCACACAGGGGAGAAACCATATAAATGCATGGAGTGTGGAAAGACCTTTACTCATAACATTCAGCTTACTTCCCACAAAAGAATCCACACAGGGGAGAAACCATTTACATGCATGGAGTGTGGAAAGGGCTTCAGCCAACATGGTAATCTTACTTCCCATAAAAGAATCCACACTGGGGAGAAACCATTTAAATGCATGGAATGTGGAAAGACCTTTACTCATAGCAGTCAACTTATTCCGCATAAAAGGATTCACACTGGGGAAAAGCCATATGCATGTATGGACTGTGGAAAGACTTTTACTCATAGCATTCAACTTAATTCCCATAAAAGGATCCATACAGGGGAGAAGCCATATAAATGCATGGAGTGTGGAAAGGGCTTCAGCCAACACAGTAGTCTTACTTCCCATAAAAGGATCCACACAGGGGAGAAGCCATTTAAATGTATGGAATGTGGAAAGGGCTTCACTTACAGCAGTCATCTTACTTCCCATAACTGGATCCACATAGGGGAGAAGCCATTTAAATGCATGGAATGTGGAAAGTCCTTTACTTATAGCAGTCATCTTACTTCCCATCAAAGGACCCATACTGGGGAGAAGCCATTTAAATGCATTGAGTGTGGAAAGGGCTTCAGCCAACGCAGTAATCTTACTTCCCATAAAAGGATTCATACAGGGCCCAAGCCATATAAATCTCGGGCATGTGAAAAGAGCTACAGGAGGAACAATGACCCAATTTCCCATATAGAGATACATTTAAGTGAGTATCTATGTTAGTTCTTGATTTAGTTGGTTAAGTTTTTGCATTTCCTATTTATTATGTACTATTTTAATTATGAACTGTGAATTTTTCAAGCTACTATCATTTGGAGGTGGCACATGCTATTGCACGTAATAAGATATTTTTTGTGTTAAGTATATCCTTGCTCAGATTCCTGTTGGTCATATCCAAGAAATTGGCGATTTTAGGCACCTATATTGCTGGGCTGTTATGTTATGAAGATTTTGTCTTTACTGTGTCTTTATAAATGAGCTTCCTGCTCCCAATTGTTTCTTCTTCCCATTTGATGATGTTTTTTGGAGGGATACGAACAAGCAGATATTTAATAGGCACAGCTTCCCCAAGCAGCAGAAGGAGCTGTATTTCTCTGATGCAGAAATAAACACCATTTCTCAATGGATTCTACACTTTTCTGTTCTTACAACAATTTGGAAATGACAAATTCATTGGATTTGAATGAATATTATAATTCAAAGGGAATTCAAATTCCACCAGAGTTTACAGAGTGAGATTGAATGTGACTAGATGAGCTCCAAGATCCCTTCAAACATCATCAATATTATTATCATTATTATACTGAATTGCCCTATTAAATTATTTGGGTATTAAATTAAAAATGACAACTAAGAGAAATTGCACTTTGAATTTTTCATGACTTTTTCTATCTTTATACCTAGTTAAGGATATTCAGGAGGATGAGGATGAAAGTGACTGTAATGTGCTGACATTGCAAACGATCAAGCAAGAGGAGAGATCTTTGGAAATCAGTGGGGATCAAAAGAAAATAATATGAAATTATGAAAAATTACTTCAGTTCCCTCTGACCAAACACACAGAAATGAGAAGGGGAACTGCCTATGAGATGTGAAAATATCAGAAAATAATGCTGGACAACAAAGATTTTGCATCCTGAACACCTTTGATGTATCTTACAGATTTTTAGCTGCTAATCATGAAAATAATCTGTAATTTAATATATTGTGTACCACTTTATAGGAATCTTGTCTTTTTACACAATGGCAATGTACATACCCTTCATTATGTTGGATGTACTGCACAAATGCCAACCATGAAAACATGGAACTGTTGTTGAAGCACATCCAGTACATTAAGTAAAACTAGAATATCTATGGAGATATAAAAACAATGGCTCTGCTGCTTGGAATGCAGCTCAGATATACCAAGTACTGTTGTTACATACAGTATGCAGATGGGAAAGCCAGGCAAGAGAGTTGCATTACCTTAAAAAGAAATGGCCATTCTGAAAGAATTTGTTTCCAGGCCAGAAAAACATGGCACTTGAACCACTTATTGACCCAACAAATAAATTTTTGCCTCCACTTCACATAAACTTCAGACTGATGAAATGTTTTGTCAAAGCATGAACAAGGAAGGTGAATGTTTTTGTTATTTGAGACAGATGTTTCCAAGAATAATTGATGTCAAGATTAAGGAAGGCATTTTTGTTGGTCCACAGAATAGATATATCATCAATGACAAGCTGTTTGAAGATCTGTTAGTGTGGTCAGAGAAAATCACCTGGAAGTCATTCACAGATGTCATTGAGAATTTTCTTGGCAACTGTGGACACCAAACTATAGTCATCTGGTTGACAGACATCTTACAGCATACAAGACCATGAAGTGCAACATGTCACTGAAGATGCATTTTCTGCATTCACGCTTGGATTTCTCCCTCAGAAATCTAGGCGCAGTCAGAGAGACAAACATGGTAAATGTTTTACCAGGACATTGCCACAGTGGAAAATATGGAGAAATTTTCTGACAGAACAATCAACCAATGGAATAGTTTGTCTTCAGATGTTGTGGGAGCTTTATCACTGGAAGCTTTCAAGAAGAGACTGGACTGCCATCTGTCAGAAATGGTGTAGGGTCTCCTGCTTGGGTTGGACTAGATGATCTACAAGGTCTCTTCCAACTCTGTTATTCTATTCCAGTGATGGCGAACCTTTTAGAGACCGAGTGCCCAAACTGCAACCAAAAACCCACTTATGTATCATTGGGTGCTGGGTGGGCGTGACCCATTGGGTGGGCATGGCTGCGGTGGAAACAGCAGATTAGGTGGGACTAAAAAGTTCAATCAATCAATTCCAACTTTGTGATATCTTTTTTTTTCCCACGAGAAGTTGAAATTGATTGATTGATTGAACCTTTTTTTTTTTTTGCACATGGTGGCAGAGGCCTAAAGCGAAAAGGTTTTATAAAATCCAGCTGAAGGCCTAGGACTGGGGTGGTGGTGCGCGTGCCCACAGAGAGGTCTCTGCGTGCCACCACGGTACTATTCTATTCGTTCTTTGTTAACCTTTTCTGGGTTTTGTATGTTGCATGAATCCTGCTTATAGATAAATGTAGATGTATATTTTTAAAAAACAAGTCTCTCCTTGTGAATAGAAAGAAATTGAAATGATACAAAATGCCAAATACACTGAATATTCTTGGTGGAACTCATCAATATACCATCTCAGAAAAATACTTCCTTCCATGGGAATGAGTATTGTTGAATGGTCCAATCCAATATGTCAACTCTACAACGAACCTGGCTGCAGCCATTTTCCTCATTCTAGGTTGCAGCAGGATTGGGAGGGGTTGCAGAGGATTTCTATTAGTCTAAACATTTTACTGTCCATGGGAACCAAGATCATTTCTGTCGATTGGATGGGCATATGGTTAGAAAGCCCACCAAACTATTCTATTGGGAAACATAACATTGCATAGCACTGGGGTGGGAAACTTAACCTTGTAATAATATATGTCTTTCGAGGGAATTTCAGTCTTGGTTTCACTTTTGACCATGCCGATGCTATGTAGCCAATAAACATGTTCTTTGAGGAAACCTCAAGCCTCGAAATTCTGATTTGTTTGGTCTCGTCTATCGGAAACTTGACACACTACTTCTTTGAATTTCTTCTCTTTTCTATAAGAGAATCGCAAAATGGAGGTCATTTGTTGATCTTCTTGTAGAGACAAAGTTATCTCTTTGTCAAAGAGGGCTTAATGGCTTCTAGTATTCCCATGGCTAAATAAACATTGCTATGAATGAAAAAGCATTTAGAAATACACAGGTATCCTTGGACCCATTTGGAATTGCGTCACAGGACAAACAAAAAGAATGGCATGTCATCCTTTAGCAAGTGGAGGAACTGGAAAAGGCCCTTCCGATGCTCAGTCTGGCATCTGTGGAGAGTTGTGGGCAAAAATTGGGCAGAAGATGCTGGAGAAGAGACCAGCTTCCACGCAGTGGCCCGAGTTGAAGGCTGTGTGGTGTCCATTAATTCTTTTCTCCTGCATACTATTTCAAGTCTTTTGCAGTGGAGATCAGAGATCCTCAGGAAAAGCAGCGTCCATCAACTTTTACTCAAGATCTGTTTTTCAGGAAGATCTCTCAGGAAGATCCAGACCCTGCCACCTCAGGAAGTAATATAAGGTTCTTCCACTCCTCTGATAGATCCTAACTTTCTCTTTATGTTTTCTCTTCTAAAGCATACTTCCTTCCATTTTATTAATTATGACTTTTGAAATTATGTTCTCCCTCACAGGGAAGAATAGAAGGAAGTTGACTATTTGTTTTGGGGGAACGGAAACCGTGACTGAACCTCCAACTCAGAGAAGAACATTCATTTACTAGATTTGTATTTTCCCTTTCCCTCAGGAAATCAGCTCATGTACATGGTATAGTCATCGACCTAAACCCAAAATTGAGCCCAAAGATTTTGTTGCTAAGTCTCCCTCACAGGAAAAGTAGGAAGAAGTTGACTCTTCCTTATGGTGGAGCTGAAATAGTTTTTAAAATTCCAACTTACATAAGAGGAAGACATTTATTAGACTTCATGATCTATGGGTTGATGGGTTCCAGTATCATTGCTGGGGCAGGTCCCGGTTCTTTCTTGCCTCTGAAAGGCATTTTTGGGTCATAGAAGCCAGAAGGGTTAAGGCCTGTCAAAAGTCATCTTGTCATGCATCCCATAAAACAGTGGTTCTCAACCTTTTTAATGCCGTGACCCCCAACTGGTCGTAAGTCGAGGACTACTCAACCAGTCGTAAGTTGAGGACTATTCAACTGGTGCAGCACCGTTTGCAGAATGGGACTTTTGGCGGGCTCAGCAGGGCAGAGACAACCTGGACAATTCCTATTGGCTTTTGAAAGCCAATAGAATTAGACTATTCAAGAGAGTCTATTCTATTGGCTTTCAAAAGCCAATAGAATAAAAGGGAGTAGCATAGCTAAGGAAAAGGGGAAAAAATGGCGGACTGCATTGTTTGGCGACCCCCGTGAAATGGTCGTTCAACCCCAAATGGGGTCCCGACCCACAGGTTGAGAACCACTGCCATAAAAGGATCCACACGAGAGAAGCAATATAAATGCATAGAGCGTGGAAAGAAACTCAGCAAAAAAAGGGATCTTACTTGCCATAGAAGGCTCCACACAGGGGAGAAGCAATATAAATGCACATAAAGGTGTTCCATGGATATTCATACCTTATGAGACATAAAAAGATCAACACAGGGAAAAAAACATATAAATGCATGGAGTATGGAAAGACTCAGACATCTTACATCCCATAAAAGGGTGCACACGGGAGAAGCCATATAAATGCTTGGAATGTGGAAAGACCTTTACTCATAGAAATTGACTTGCTTCCCATAAAAGGATCCACATGGAGGGAATCCAAATAAATATACTGGTACTGAGTGTCAAAACAGTCATCTTCAGTCAAAACAGTCATCTTAAATCCCATCAAATGATCCACACAGGAGACAAGCCATATAAATGCATGGAGTGTGGAAAGAATTTCAGCCGACACCATACTCTCCATAACATGATTCATAGATGTGAGAAGTCAGTCCCCAAAACAAAGATACATTTGGGTGAGAATGT